CCAAGTCACAACACAACATACGTTGTCTCAGGGCACTGTACTTAAAAAGAACAATCTAAAGAAGAAACCAGCAGGCTGCATTGAGTTGAATCACTTCATCACAGTCTCCCATCCTGAGCAAACGGTGGAGAGGAAAAACTCCCTGCTAATAAGGAAGAAACCTCCAGCAGAACCAGGCTCAGGACAGGCGGCCATCTGCCTCGACCTGCTGATGGCAGTTCAACCCAGCCACTAACTTAATCGTCTCCTGTTTAGCTCCTGGTCCCCTTGACGTGTGTATCCAGATATAGCTTCCTGTTTGTTAATAAAACTGTTWAAACTGCTCTGGTGTCTGGCAACTCTGTGAAACTCATTTCCCCATTTATTACAGACTGCAATAAATATCTTGAGGCTACACCATAACTATTTTGCATTGTTTATCTTGGGGGCACACAATAATTTTTTTGTCCTATCACTTAATGGGCTTCTTAACTTTGATATGTATACATACATGTGTAAGATTTTATTTTTTTGTTAATATCAAATATATTTGTATGTTTGTAAATATTTCATGTATTTTGTCAGTTAAAAATTATTGCATTTACCTACAGTAAACCCACCCTGACCTTTCACTGATACGACTGAAACTAATTATAGGCCACATAGACAATTATATCATCAAATTAATCTGTCCAATTACAAAACAGAACTCGGGTTCAGATTGGGTGGGGGGGGGGCATTCCTCCCAACGACGCCCCTCCAGGTCTCATTGTCATTGCCCACGTTATCATTGAAATCTCGCAGCAGAACAAGAGAGGACCCATTAGGTGTGCTCCCAAAAAGGGTGGGTAATCTGAACTGCTGTTATGCTACATTTACACCAAACTCGTTTTGAGCAACAGGAGCATCTGGTTTACATGCAAAGTCAATGGTGGACGTGCATCTATGGGCATCTAGAAGCAGAGCAACGCGTATGGCGCATTTCAAGCCGCGTGGTTCGAAGCGGTGCACGTCATGAGCGTTTTCCGTGGGTGCGGCATGTCCCAAGCGTCTGACGCATGAGTTGGAAAATCTGAACTTTTGCTGCTCGACGTGTCGCATCAACCAATCAGAGAGACTCTGCTCAGTGATGTACTGGTGATGAGCCGAGAATACAGGAAGCCCAGGGAATCCACAAACAATGGAGGAAAATCCGATCATTTATGATCCTTCCAGTGTCCATTATCGTGATAAAAATAAAAAGGACTTTGCCTGGAGGACRATTAGTGAGGAAGTCGGAATGTTTGGTAAGTTATCAAAACTACGGTTAAAAAGGCTCCTCCTCTGAGATGCGTGTCTACGTTCACATCGAATGCATCTGTCCTCACTGGACACCAGCATTGAGTTGCGTGTGTTTTGAGAATTTTGGAGGCGCGCAACATGTTTGGTGTAAATGTAGTATTAGGTGCATAGGCACAAACAACAGTCAGGATCCATCCCCCCACATGTAGGCAGAGGGAGGCTACCCTCTGTTCACCGGGGTGAACCCCAACGTACAGGCACCAAGAGGAAGGGCAATAAGTATGCCCACTCCTGCTCAGCACCTCTCAGCATGGGCAACTCCAGAGTGGAAGAGTGTCCAGACCCAAACGTATAGTGAGGGTCTGCTGGGAATATCTGGCAGAAACTCTCGCCAGACGGAGCTTCAACTCACACCTCCAGGAGAACTTTGAACATGATCTGGGGGAGGTGGGTGACACTGAGTCTGAATGGGCCATGTTCCATGCGTCCATTGTCGAGGCGGCTTACCGGAGCTGTGGCCGCAAGGTTGTTGGTGCCTGTCATGGTGACAACCCTCAAACCCGCTGGTGGACTCCTGTCGTGAGGGATGCTGTCAGGCTGAAGAAGGAGTCCTATCGGGTCTTTTTGGCCTGTGGGACTCCAGAAGCAGCCAAAAGATATTGGCAGTTCAAGTGGATTGCAGCTCAGGTGGTAGCTGAGGCAAAAACTCAGGCGTGGGTGGAGATCGGAAAAGCCATGGAAAAAGACTTCCATATGGCTACGAGGAAATTCTGATCCACCGTCCAGTGTCTCGGGAGGAAAGTGGCTCGCCAACAACACTGTTTATGGTATGGATGATGCGCTGCTGACCTCAATTCGGGATATTGAGCGTTGGTGGGCAGAATATGTCGAAGACCTCCTCAATCCTACTAACATGTCTTCCCATGAGGAAGCAGAGCCTGAGGACCCTGGGTCGGACTCTCCAATCTTTGGTGCCGAGGTCACCGAGGTGGCAAGGCGCCGGGGAAGGATGAGATTCGCCCGGAGTTTCTTAAGGCTCTGGATGTTGTGGGGTTATGTTGGTTGATGTGACTCTACAATATCGTATGGACATCAGGGGCTGTTCCCCATGATTGGCAGATCGGGGTGTCCCCCTATTTAAAAAGGGGGACCGCAGAGTGTGTTCCAATTGTAAGGGATCATGCTTCTAAGCCTCCCTGGTAAGGTCTATTCAGGGGTTCTGGAGAGGAGGGTCCATCGGATAGTTGAATYTCTGTTTCAGGAAGAGCAGTGTGGTTTTTGTCTTGGTCGTGGAACAGCGGACCAGCTCTACACTCTCAGCAGGGTCCTGAAGGGTGCATGGGAGTTTGCTCAACCATGTGTCTTGTGGACTTGGAGAAGGTGTTCGACTGTGTCCCTCTGGGACTCCTGTGGGGGGTACTCTGGGAGTATGGGGTACCAGGCCCGTTGGCTGTTAGGTCCCTGTACAAGCAGTGCCAGAGCTTGGTCCGCATTGCTGGTAGTAAATTGGACATGTTTCTGGTGAGAGTTGGAGTCTGCCAAGGTTGCCCTTTCTCACAGATTCTGTTCATAACTTTTATGGACAGAATTTCTAGGTGCAGCTGAGGTGTTGAGATGATCCGTTTTGGTGACCTTAGGCTCACATCTCTGCTTTTTGCGGATGATGTGGTCCTATTGGCTTCATCAGATTGTGATCTCCAGCTACCACTGGAGCGGTTCACAGCTGAGTGTGGAACGGCCGGGATGAGGATCAGTGCCTCCAAATCCGAGACCATGGTCTTGAGCTGGAAAAGGGTAGGGTGCCTTCTCTGGGTCAGGGAGGAGGTCCTGCACCAAGTGGAGGAGTTTAAGTWTCTYGGGGTCTTGTTCACAAATGAGGGAAGAATGGAGCAGGAGATCGACAGGCAGATTGGTGCTGCATCTGTTGTGATGCGGGCACTGCATCCATCTGTTGTGGTGAAGCGAGAGCTGAGCAAGAAGGTGAAGCTCTAGGTTTACCGGTCGGTCTACGTTCCTACTCTCATCTATGGTAACAAGCTTTGGGTAGTCACCGAAAGAACAAGATTGTGGATACAAGCGGCTGAAGACCCAGGACACACTGGAGGGCCTATGTTTCTCGGCTGGCCWGGGAACACCTTGGCATTCCCCCAGAGGAGCTGGCTCAAGTGGCTGGGGAAAGGGAAGTCTGGGTCTCTCTGCTAAGGATGCTGTCTCCACGACCCGAACCCGGATAAGCAGAAGAAAACGAACAGACAGACAAATTATTCTGATTGGTTTGTTAAAAGATTTGAGTTCAGAAGTTGATGTTCTAGAAGATAAGGACTGTGCTTTTCTGGAAAGTTCATGATGAGTTCAAGGTTAGACAAASTCATTCATTACCTTCCTCCATGCACCTCCTTGATTCTCTCAGCCCTCTACTGTTTCTTTCTTACAGCTCCTTCATCATGGTCATCTCGGTTTTGTCTAATCCCCCTCCTGTTCTTCTTGTCCACAATACTTTACTCTTAATGTTTAGAGCTTTATTCTCAAAATGCCTGCCGGAAGCCTCCCACAAACATGCTCGCCCACCTTTTTATGCAAGTACACACTAAAGTACCAGTAAAAACAAGTACTGTTAATTTACCCACACACATACTATCAAGCACACACATTTTGAAACTAACCTCGTGTGTCCCTGACTGGCTGTCTCTGCGGCTCTCATCCAGGGCCTTCTGTAGCAGCGAGTCGTCTCCTTGGCGACAGCGCTGCWCCTGCGGGGGTGGCATAGTGATGTCATCAATGCAACAAGTACCGACGCTGAATCACATGCACATGCCACAGTGAGCAAAACAACTCTGTGACTCTGTCCATCAAATTTCACTGTTTTATGCACCAATCTTCAGTGAAAAGTGGGRAGTATTTTAGAGCAAAGATGAGAGAAAACACTTTAAAGTTTCACAGAAACGTTTTGATGCTGATTGTATTAAAGACACAGATTTTGGTCCTCTGTTAAAGGAAGAATGATGAGAATGTGGCTAAAAAAAGGGACCAAAAACAGGAAAGATTTTAATCATTTGGAGGAAAATGTTATATGAGTCACATCATTTAAAGTAAAGGCCTAAAATCCTTTGACAAAATTTCACCCACCACATTTGATGACATTTTATTTCACAATGGCTGCCACAGTGAAATATCTGACTGCTCAGAGTGTGTGCTGAGGATGACTCTCAGCTACTACCACGTAAGCATTAAGATAAGATGAGATAAGACGAGACGAGACGAGACGAGATAAGATAAGATAAGATAAGATAAGATAATATAAGATAAGATAAGATAAGATAAGATAAGATAGAACTTTATTGATCCCACAATGGGAAAATTTGCACATCACAGCAACTCGGGAGCTGCAGTAACAGGCTGCCTACCGTGGCGCTATCCATTACCTCATTATTTATCATTTTGAGTAAGTAGCCATATTTAAGTTGGCAAAGGTGGATTAACTGTGGCAGCCATCTTGACTTGGATTGTCTCCAAATGTAAAACAATTGTAAATGTTCAACCTATAATTAGTTTCTAAGAGTTTCATTTGAATTTACCCAATGGTCTATAAGATATTTTGCTAACAGTWCAGACAAACACAAACAAAAACATATCACTCTGCCTTCGCCTGTGGTAGGTGGTGCTTTTAAACAGACACAAAGCTCAGTGGTTGTTAAATAATCACACATTGCTGTAAGGTGTGTTTTGCTATGTTTCTGTGTGGACCTGCTTATTTTGCATGAAGTTTCAGGCAGTAGAGTTGTGTCATCATTCATCTCTATGGTAACAGTGGAACAGGACCAACAAGGTGGGCGAATGTACAAAACACTGATAATGTTTTCTTAAACCATAAAGAAAGCCATGAGACGAGTGTGTCCATGTTCTGAAAACCCATCTGTGTGTGTCCACAGAGGTTGTTACAGTAGAAAAACTACGTTACTGTGTGCATGTGTGTGTGTACTTGTTTCTGCTACAGAGTGAGGACCATCACGTTTTAACCAACAAAGTGAGGTCTTTGATGTAAAGTGAGGACATTTTCCAGGTCCTCACTCTTTTTAGCAGATCTGCTGTGCTTTACTAGTGAAGTTTAGCGGTATGGTGTTAATTAAGATTTGGTTCAAGTTAGGGTTAGGAATAAACTAGTAATGGTTAGTTTTAGGGAAAATGTTAGGGTTAGGCATAAATACAGTTACAAAAATAAATGGAAGTCAATACAATGTCCTCAGTTTGATGCAAATACAAGGATGTGTGTGTGTGTGTGTGTCTGCCCTTGTTTTTGCTACTTGGTGGGGACAATTTTTCAGGAAAATGCAGCCTCGTGGGGACTGTGCTCCTTGTGGGAAGCAAAGCCCCACGGTCCCCATGATTTCGGAGGCTGATTTTGGGTGGATAGGTGGGGTGGGGGGTGGGTTTAAGACCAATGTGTGAATTGAGTTTAAGTTAGTTTTGGGGTCAGGAAGGTACCTGTGAGGCTAATTTTAGGGTAAATGGTCAGGGTTAGGATAAAAAATTTCCAAAAAAATGAATGAAAGTCAATGGAAAGTCCCCACAAGGATATAGAGACATAGTAGTTGTGTGTGTGCGTGCGCGTGCGTGCGCGCGCGCGTGTGCGTGTGTGTTTGGTGAAATTTGGGGGCAATTTTAAGACAAAAATCCTATATTTGGGGACAACTGATGCATTTGGGGACAAAAGTGGAGTCCCCATTTGGTTTAAAAGCCACTGGTGGGTTGGGGGTTGGGTTTAGGACCAAGGTGTGAATTGAGTTTAGGTTAGTTTTAGGGTCAGGTCGGTACCTGTGAGGTTAGCCTTAGGGTTTGTGGTCAGGGTTAGGATATAAATTAAAAAAATGAATGGAAGTCAATGGAAAGTCCCCACAAGGATATAGAGACATAGTAGTTGTGTGTGTGCGTGCGCGTGCGTGCGCGTGCGTGC